CGACGACCGACGACGGTGGTAGTGGGGGGGGGGGGGGGTTAGCCCATAGAATTATGCAGCAAGTCCTAAGGGAGACAATTCCCATGAATGACCAGCGTCAAATGATGAAAAGTTTGACAAGATTAAATTCCACAAATAATAATAACAGTCACCTTCCAACTATCCCAGACAAGCCCAAACAAAAGAGAACATGAAAATGATCGTGCTTGAGAGAGGTCTTCGAACAATGAAAGTTCACCAGGGGAACAACAAACACAGATAGCATTCACTACCAAAAGCACTAATTAAACATGAGTTGTGAACTTACTTCTTAGTGCTGAGAGACCAGAGCTCCTCCAAAAGGAACACTGAAAGAGCATCAACTTTTGTGTGACAAACCATATCAAAGAGCAACTGTCTGATGAAGCAGGTGGTGAGAAATCCTCCTAGTAGAAAGCTGAATACACATGGCAAACCCTCAGTGGATTAGCTCCTAATCGATCTCATTCTAAAGTATCCTTGATAATATGCAGGCAAGGGTGCAGATCACTCAGAAGTTATACGCCGCCTCTTTCCGTAATCAGCATCCCTTGATCTTGACCGATGGTCTTCCTCATGTGATAATCGTGATTTGCTGTGTCCCCTTGATGACCTTCCTCTCTCATCATCATCATATTCTTGCTCACGGTCCTTGTACCTGAGATGATCAGCATATCTATCTCTATCATCCCTATGACGATCTCGATCCCTCTCACGATCACGCCCTCGTTCTCGAGAACGTTCACGATCCCTGTCCCTCTCCCTGTCTCTTGCGACATCTCTATCATCTCGGTATCTCCTCTCTGAATAATCATGATCATTCCCTCTATCCTTTTCACGAGCCATGTCTCTATCATAGGAAGGTTCTCTGCCATCTCGATGTTTTCTATCTGTAGAACCAGACCAATCACGCTCTGATCCTCTGTCTTTATCTTTCAAGTTATTAGGCCAAGCCCCTCTATCATGAGTTACTTCTCCATACTGATGATCAGACCCAGCTTCTTCTGCATAACTTGACTCTCCCACTCTACCACCATGCTCGTCGCCAGCCCATCCACCCGCATTAGGATCAGACCACATCCCCATGTTCGGCCCCTCCATACCAGCACCTGGCATCATTCCCATGCCATTCATTGGCATTCCTCTACCAAAGAATGCAGGATTTACATGAGGAGCTACACCAGGCATCCCAACTCCTCCAACAGGTGGAAAAGATGACAACATACCAGGAAATGGTGGAGCTGGACCACCAGGGAATCCTCCGTAACCACCCATTCTCCCCATAGGCCCTCCTCCAAAAGCAGGATCAAAGCCCTGACCCATCATTGATTGAGGATGCAAAAGTGGAGGTGCACCGCCCATACCTTGTCCAAATCCACCTCCACCATTTCCCATCAACCCTCTTCCTCCAATCCCACCAGGCCTGTTTCTCATAGGACCCACAGGCCCCCGATTTCCCATACCTTGAGGGCCTCCTCTGCCCCAATTTCCTCTACCATAACCCCTGTTGCCATCCCCACCACCTTGATAATTGCCACCAGTAGCAGTGTTGTTATTTCCAATTTTATTACCAGCCACATCAGCAGGCCCCCGCCTTGCTTGGGGAGTAGCAGTCTGGGCAACCTGTTGATTTCGATTCACCTGAGCTTCACCCATCCTCTTCACATTATACGGTGATGATGCAAAGGCGACTACACATGGCCTCCCATTGAAAACATGTCCATTCATCCCTTCCTTACAAGCTGAGGCAGCAGAGGAATCGTGAAACTCAACCTGGCAATATCCTTTAGACTTCCCACTAGCTTTTTCTTCGAAAAATTTCACCTCCTTCACAAGTCCATACTTGCTCAACTCTACCTCTAGCTCCGCATCCGTTGTCCACCAATGTAAATCACCAACAAAAAGAATCGCCCCTCCACCACCACCTCCTCCTCCACCACTAGCACCCCCACCTCCACCAACAATATTACCTGCCCCGTTCACATTAACCCCTCCCTGCCTAACAAAATTGCCATTCCCTGAATTTCCAACATTACCAGCATTTCCAACAGCGGCAACACCACCAGCGTTAGGCTGTTGAACCATCACCTGATTCGGAACGTTACTACTCACCATCCGCTCCGCTAAATCACCCATCTTACCCTCCGATGGGCGATTTAACTCAACCCTAAACCCACCACCAGCAGAAACCCCAGGCCCAGCTGCAGCACCTACTGACCCTCCTCTAGCAGAAACCCCCGATGCTACATCCTCCTCTTTTACGGGTTTAGGCTCAACCTGAACATTTCCACCGCCACTTTCCGCCACGGCCGGCGGCGGAAATGTCGCCGCCGGAGGGGAAAGTTCAGGTTTTTTCTCAACCTCATCCTTTTTAGATACTACTAAATCTTCATTTTTACGAAGAGATTGGAGAAAATTCTCACCAACATTTACATCGTTATAAAGATCTTCATAATCATCATCTTCTTCAACAAGAAAATTATCATCGGCAACGGCGGAGATTGCTTCGTTCCGATGGAACTGCTCGATTGGTTCCCCACCTTCATTTTCGTCCATGGCTCTTACCTATCTAAAAAGCCAAGGTTAGGGTTCGTAGTTATGAACTGTAAGACGCTGAAATTCTAATTTTTTAATTAACTAGCAAATATTACAAGACAAAAAATTTTCAAAAACGAAGTGAATAGCAAATTCAGATCGGGGAAAATCTTACCGGAGAAGCTGTTTGATTAACTTTCGAAGCAGAGAGAGAGGGAACTCTCTAGAGAGAGAGAGCACAAAGCATAATCTCTGGAAAGTGGTGAGCTATTCTGACAGGAAACTTTGAGAAAGAGGTAATACTAGGCGTGGCGAATGGTTACTGTGCGACGGAGATGCGTATCCCACACTTCTAACATTTGTCTGTATTGACTCACCTCGAGCTAACCAAGCTGGGTCCAATGGTTAGTACTACTACTAATAGCTGTTTGACCAAATTTCTAAAATCAATGTACCCGAGAAGTACTTTTTCGTGGTAAAAAGTAATTTGTGTTTGATTAATTAATTTAAAAATATTTTTGAGCATCAATTAGTATTTGACCAAGTTTAAAAAAAATATTTTTAAGTGTATTTTTCTTAAGTACTTCTAAAAAGGTGCTTATGCCAAGAAATTACTTTTTTTTTACTTCTGCTTCTACTCAAAAACATAATTTTTTTCTTCTATAATCTCGGCCAAACAGCTCAACTTTGAAAAAAAAATATTTTTTTAAAAAAAAAGTACTTTTGATTTTGGAGATGCTTGGCAAAACATACTATAAAACTGAGATGACAAGTTCATTTATTCGTGGCAAAATCAACTCATTATTTTGTCACCCCTCCAAGCTTAACCATATTAACTTATAACTTGTTTTATTGACTTGATCTAATGGATTGAATCAATAGTGCAATAATTATGTTTCAGTCCGAAATAAGTTAGATTGGTTATATAAATTTCTACTAATTACGTAATTAGGGACATATTTATTTTATTGTAAAATTATCATGAATTTATTAATTTTATGTTGGATGTTAATCTACCGAAATCAATCTACCGTTTTATTTATGATTTAGGCTGAATTCACTAGTAAAAAAGTGTGTGAATCAAGAACACATGAACTTAAAATTTTAAATATGCCTCCAACAATTACCTTTTCCTTAACCGAGACACCAAAGCGAGAAAGTTTACTTAGGAAGAGTTGGGGTGAATACGAAATGTAAATCAAAATGGATCAAATTAATGTAACTTGAAGGGTTAAAACCCGACACAAATTATACAAAAGCAAATTTTGAAAATTAAATATTATATAAATATGAAAAAAATAAAATTTGTTCCCATTTGGATATTGAGAATTATATCAAGATGGAAGAATTATGTCAAAAAGCAAAATAGCGAAGAAGGAAGAAGTTGCATCATGTTGGGCAGGTTGAATTATAACCAGTTAAGACCATATATTCCAAATTCCACCCAAACTACTAACAAAAATCACTAGCATAGACCATAACAAACTTGGATCAAGTATCAAAGACAAATTATGTGCAAGATTCCGTAATTAATAGGCGTAATGACTTTCTGTCCATTTAAACTTGTACCGGATTTTAAAGCCGATATTCAAACTTATATTATTCCCATTTGAACACTCAAACTCACATATCCGATAACTAATAAACCTATTTGACCGTTGACCATGCACATGTGACGGTGACAGAGATGATGTGGACAAAGTGTGTGCAAGTCACGAAAATTACGCGCGTGACTATAATAATTTTAATTTAAAAAAATGTAGAACCAAAAAAAAAAATACAAATTAAAAAGAAAGAAAATAAACCAAGCCCACTTCCCCATCCCCCAGCAAAATTCCCTTCACCCTCTGTGTTCTTTTCCCCCATTATCGTCCTCCCCCACATCCCCCTTTTTTTCTCCCCCCCCCCCCTAATCTACCCCCTTCCTCCTCTTGTCTTGGGTGAAATTTCCTACCAGATGCCCATCAAAAGTTTTGGGGATAAAATATTCTTTGATTTTACCATTTGCGTATAAAGATTGTAATGGTGCCCATAAATCTAACTTCTGATAGGTAATCTAATGCATTGTGTACAAATTGGAATGGTCATTGGTGAAATCTCAGCTAACACCCCTCGAAAATTAAGTTCAAGACTCAAGGATTCAAGTTGATGTAGATGGACAAATTGAAAACTTTCTCCTCCATTGACTCCTAACTTTCTAACATTCCGAATCCCTGAAATAACCTCCTTTGTGCAACAACGTAGGGACAAGCCAGAGATAGTGTGTAGATTTGGAAAAACCAAACACTTCTCTTCTTCAACAGATATAATTGGAGGATTTGGGAAATGAAATGAACTCAGTCCGATATGCCTTAATTGCATTATATGAGAAGGAAAAAAAAATTACTTGTATCCTTGGCAGACGAACGAAATTTAATTTAGAAATAAGCGAGAGAAAGAATACTGAAGAAAAGGAAAAAAAATAAAGGAAAGAAATGGAGGTGGGTGAACGGAGAAGAAGCAGAGGTGGGTGAACGGAGAAGAAGGAGAGGTGTTTCTCTCTCTCTCTCTCTCTCTCTCTCTCTCTCTCTCTCTCTCTTTTTTTTAATTTGTGACTTCTTTTTTGCTTATTTAGTATTTAAGAATAGGGCCCACAAATAACACATGTCAAGTAATAAATAGTCTAGTATATGACGTGTTGTACATGTCAGCACAATTGATATACACGCACTACTGGATGTATTTATTTGTACTCATTCCATCAAGTTCGAGTGTTCAAATGGGAATAATGTAAGTTTGTATATCGGCTTTAAAATCGGGTACAAGTTTAAGTGGCCAGGAAACCATTACGCCTAATTAATATACACACCCTTCCTTTTGATAATCTTCCCTCAATGTCACAAGAATGAAGCCCACCTTCTTTAAACTCAACTACTATTGGAGACCACAAAATCCATCTTTCTTTGGAAGAACAGGAACATATCTATCACCCACGAAATATTCTATAATTATCAAACTCTATGGTAAAAAAATCCAACACCATCTTCTTAAAAGGAAAATACAAGAAATTTGAAAAATCCCTGAAAACTTTCCTTTAATTGATCTGGGAGCAGATTACTATATTACCAAATTTAACTGTGAGGAACATATGTTCAAAGTTCTACATCATGGCCCGTGGTTTATTTTTGGTCACTTTTTTTCAATTTAGAGATGGAAATCAAACTTTGTAGCAACGGAAGTAAACAATTCACTTTACAGTTGTATGGGTCCGTCTACCACAATTACCAACCGAGTTCTACGATGGTATACTAGCAAAAATTTGAAATACCATTGGTATTATTAAAAATAGATGCTTGTACATCTTTTACTCGAAGCGGTTGTTATGCTAGACTGTGTATTGAACTACCACAGGAAGAGCCTGTTATTCCCTTCTTTTATTGTGGAAATCACAAACAATATATCCAGAATGAGGGTGAAAATTTCTTATGTCAATATTGTGGGAGATTAGGCCATGTGGCTGTAAAGTGCCAACTCAGAAAGGTTCCGCCAACAATGACTAACACATTACCAAGCAACCCAACTCCACACCCATATGAGTGCAATAACGTCCAAGATGCAATTGGTGAAGTGTGGCAGACGGTTAATTTCTCCAAGAAAAAGAGAGCCAATGGAAGGGGAAACGAGAATCTCTAAAAACCAGGTATAACAGCAAAACTTCCTCATGGAATACCAGGTACGTTTTCTACTCATCATCCTAACACTAGACATAATTTCTTAGCAATCAAAGCAGGAGCAGATCAAAGATCTACACTAATTATAACGATCTCTCTACTCTAAATCAAGTTACCAGTGAAAACAATTTTACAACCTTGGACAATCCGCTAATGGAACTAGACGAAAAAGAATTTCCTAGCTAAAAAACAAACTTAGACTTAAGTGTAATGACGTGGCACCAAAAAATAATTCAAATGACAACGTGTCTTGCTCGAAGGAAACTAGCTTATCTAACATGCAAAAGATTAACTCCTCTACTGACGATAATAACGAGGCTAATTCTCCTAAAAACACAAGCCTACAGAGTGAAAAAGATCCTTTAATATCCAGAATTAACACTCCTAATATCAACAATAATATGATAATGATAATGTTTATTGCATGGAGGAAGATGGTGTCCCACAACACCTGTCCCACAAGACCTCCTCAGTTGCACAATTGGCCAATAAAGACCAACACGTGCCTAACCGTACTACTACACTAAATCCCTTTAAAATCTTATCTCCCACAAGCAACCAAAGCATGCAAATAGATTCAATCATTACCAACCTAGCTAATTCTACTACTCAAAACCCTTCCCCTCCCATTAACTTAACTACTAGAGTTAATATAAACCACTCCTCCGGTAATAACTATGCCAAGAATTCTTATTTCTCAAAGGAGATGATTCCGACTAGTGCAAATTCTAAGACATCAACGAGCCCACACAATGGCCAATCCTCCACCAAACTTGAACAATCAACCAGGAAATCAAACGACCCTCTTCATTCAACCACCTCTCGCCTAAGACCACCAAATACTATCACGGATAGAAGAAGCCTTGATGGGCCATGCAGTCACATTCAACATGATCCTGGACGGTCAGGAGACAGTGATCATCCTCCAAAACTTACACTTCTTAGCTCAACTTGTATCCGAGGGGATGCACATGGCCATGAGCAACTACCTCAACCATGTTTGGTTGAACAATATTCTTCACCCACTAGCCCCCACAATGAATGCAAATCAAGCCCATGCAATGAGGAACCGGTGGAATCTTCCTCCACACTTCAACCCTCTTCAGCCACAGAATATGGCAATCGGCCTCCCTTTCTTTCCTCCAGGGAAGATCTCGAATCTAAACCCAATCTTCATTCCTCGGGCAACAGCTCCACACCATGCCCAGAATCAAGCTCATGCACCACCCCCGGTAAAAAATCCACCACCTCAAGTACCCAACCCCATTGTGCCAGAACCAGAAGGTCATCAAGAAGGGAATGCAGAAGAGATGAATTTACTAGGATCGGAGGAAATAATAGAATTTTCAAGCCTAAACGAAGTAAAGGTGTATATCTTCACGGAAATGCAAGAGAAGAGGTATATTCTCAGTTGTCCCCAACTCTGTACAAATGCTCAATGGATATCAGGACACCACAGGACCCAACAGTGGGGAGCCATGCAATGATACTCGTTCCCTCACTAAGGAGGAACCCAATACTCCATGCAAGAATGGAGAGTGGCTCAACCAAAAATCATGCAACGATGATGTATCGACCAACTAATATCATTATATAGAACATAAGAGGGGTAACAACGATAACTTTCGTGTTAATTTTAGGAAAATGATTGCTACTCATAAACCCTG